GGACCCCTCGGGTGCTGCTGGGGGTAGGAAGGGGCAGCCGCTTTGGCAAACAGTTTGGCGATTCTTCAGAAAGTTAAATGTAAGGGTTGGGTCTGGAGCTCAGTGATAGAGCACTGGCCTGGCCTGAGCCCCTGGGTTCCATACCAAGCCTAGAGTGACCCAGCAATCCCACCCTAAATATCCACCCACGGCGACCGCAGACATATCCACTTACATTTATCTGCACAAATGTTCGCAGCAGCGTTACTCAAAATAGCCCCCAAACTGGAAATAATTCAGATGCCAATGAACTGATGAATGGATACACAAAACTTGGTCTGTCCTTACCATGGACTATTACACAGCCATTAAGAGAAAATAAGAGCTGCTTTGTGCTTCAATATGGAACGAACTTGAAAACATTATGCTGAGTGGAAAAGCCAGATGCAAAGAGAAGGCAAGACTGTAATGAAAAGTCCAAAACAGGCAAATCCATAGGGACAGAAAATAGGTTTGTGTTTGTCAGGGACTGGGGGATAGAGGGACGGGGACTGCCACTATGGGGGTGACGGAAGTGTTCTGGAATCAGGTAGTAGTGATGGTTGCACAGCGCGTGAGTCTTCCCAGACGTCACTGGGTGAATTACAGCTCAGTGGGAAGGAAGAGGGTGGCTGAGCGCAGAGGCGGTGGGGTAACCGGCTGCTGCGTGGAGGGCTGCGGGCCCACCTGCTTACCCTGCTCCCACCTCCCGCAGCTCACGTTGCTGAGGATGCCTCTGATCTTCTTCAACACGTGAAATTCCAGTCCAGCAACTTTGAAAACATCCTGACGTGGGACGGCGGGACAGACAGCACCCCCGGCATCGTCTACAGCGTGGAATATAAAAAGTAGGCTTCCTGCCCACACCCACCTCCTGTGACTCTGCAGCGATCTCTCCCAGAATGTCCCCCACTCTACACGTCCCTGGGCCCCCACTGGGCTGCTGCCTGCCCCCAGCCCCTTTTGCATCCTTCTGCAGAGGGAGGGTTCAATCAGGACTGATACCACCAGGGCTGGTGGCAGCCGGGCAGGGCCATCTCCCACCTGGGCGACCTCGGTCCGCTGGGGAACCCCACCAGGCCTCAGTTCCCCATCTGTAGAGGGAGGACAGTGAGAGTCCCTTCCTCGTAAGGTTGTCAGGTAGATTAGGTAAGACGAAGTCAACCTGCGCCTGGCGTCATGAGGTCTTGGAGATCGTTCTTTGACTATTGGCCAAACAAGGTCAACAGGAAGTCTGTTCCCACCTTACTCCAGCCTGTGCCTGTCACCTCCCCTCTGAACCTCAGATCCCTTGTCTGTCAAATGGGGATAACAGGCTTCGCCCACCGGGTCTCGGGGCAGCGAGAGGAGAACGTAGACTAGACTTGCTGGGTTCAAGTCCAGGCCGTCACAGGCACCGTCACGGGCACCGCGGGGTGCATTTTACCCCTTTGAACCTCGGCTTCCTTGTGTACACAGCCCAGGGGGGTCACCATGAGAACCAAGAGCACCCACATAAAGGGCCCGAGACACAGAACGTGCTGTGTAAATAGGAGATACCGCTATCATTATTACAACGCCACAGGCCTGGCACCCAGGCCTCATTAACGGTGTGCCCGGCCCCTCCCTCCTGCCCAGGTACGGGGACATCGCGTGGCTGCCAAAGGCAGGCTGCCAGAGGATCAGAGGGAAATCCTGCAACCTGACCATGGAGACGGGCAATCATACTGAGTTCTACTATGCCAGGGTCACGGCCATCAGCCCTGGAGGCCGGTCAGCCACCAAGATGACCGACCGGTTCAGCTCTCTGCCACACAGTGAGTGGGAGTCCCTGCTCGGGCCAGGGGCAGTGAAGCACCTGGGAGGCTCCTTCCCTCTGAGTGGACACAGGGCCAGGAGGGGTCTGTACCAGGGCCAGACAGGGAAGGTGCCCCCCACTGAAGCACATCCCCCAGGGGGCCTGTTCCTTTCCCTCCACCCCCCCACAGCCCCGTAGTTCACACCACCCTCCTCTGCAGCCAGGGAAGCCGACATTCCTGCCCCGGCCCCATCCTCAGGGTCCTCCCAGACTCACCTTCCCCTCCCCTGCTGAAAACTCTCCAGCATCTTCTCATGATTCTTAAAACAAGACCCAGCCCTTTGCTGTGAGCTCCCAGGCACTGTCTATCTGCAGCTCTGTCTACTGATGCAGTCTGGCCTCTGGAAATCCCAGCCCCAGGGCCTTTGCTGCACACACACCCCCCACCCCCCACCCCTCCTGGCTCCCCACTCATTGGTGGCTCTTCCCAGTCCTTACTGGGGCTCAGTTCAGCCCTAAGTGAGCGTCCCCACCCCTAGCCCTGACTACTTGATCTCAGCGGGTGGCCACCTGTCACCCTCCCTCCCAACCCAGTCTGTCCTCAGTGCCTGCAGGACCCTTATCCACAGATCAGACCAAATGCAGGTGAAAAATATTTGGAACCAAACTTCATCTGTACTTGAACGAGTACTCGCTTTTTTCTTGTCATTGTTCCCCAAACAATAAATTTATTCCTAGAAGGGAATGGGTGTGGTGTCCCAGCGTCGATCCCCGTGGACACGGGGGACCCCTGTCCACTGTGCTTTGTCCTCACAGCTCCTATCACAGTGGGCAGCTATCATGTTTGCTTACACGTACAGCATCAGCCTCGCTCATTAACATGTGAGTTCCAAAAGCGGCCTGAGTGGGCTACGGGATCCTCTGTGTTCCCAGACCTTAGCCAGAGCTCAGCAGGGAGAAGAGGCTCCACCCAGGAGGGTCCCGTAAATGAATGTGCACCAGCTGCCCGGCTCCCACACGTTCCCCAGCTCGCCTTACGGCCACACGTGACTTTTTAAGAAAACAAAAAAATAAAATTAAGTCCGTCACTGATTTTCTTCCTGGCTTGTTCACTTCCAGAAATATAGAAATATGCAAAATATAGAAAAGTCCGTGTTAATGTACTGAAAATCTGGAAAACACAGAAATATTCAAAGAAAAATAAAAATCACCCACCCCCACCCCCGATCATTCCAACAAGCAATCACTAGCACCTGGGTCTATTTTTTTTTTTTTTTTGAATCTAGCATTGTTTCCTTGTTTTTGAGCTGCTTCTCCCTCTGTATGATGGTGTCATAAACTTTTGCCCACATTATTAAATGTGTTTCCACAATGTGATATTTCATAGCTGCAAAAGGGCCCATTCTTGGGAGGCACTCTAATTTATTTATCTAATTCCCTTTATGAGGATATTCTGCTTGGTTTTTCAATTTTACAAACAAGCGTCCACATGAGCATCCTTCTTCTGCCTCAGACGGACACTAATGCCAGTTCAAATGTTCTGAATTTCAGAGGTCAATGGACCCTTGAGGGATTTCTATGAGCTAGATTCAGGGTGAGTAGGGTGCATGAATCCCTGAAATCTTGCATGAATGCCAAATTTTTGTCTAGGTACATTTTTGGGGGGAGAGAAGATTCATGTTCTCCAAGGGTCTGAATTCATTTAGTTACTTGGAAAATTTCATCTTGAGAGAGACTGAAGTCTTGGACGTGGCCTTGGCACTAAACGGGTGACCTCGGCCCCCCCTGGTGTTATTTAGGACCCGTGGCTAATCACCATGTGGACATACCCAGAGCTGTCACTGCCTACAGACCTGGGGTCCTGTGTCCCAGGAAGACTTGAGGTGGGGGTGAGGAGCTGGGACACCTGGGAGCAGGGTCTAGGCTTGTCCAACCCCAGGGACGGTGACCCTCACCCTTGGTTCCTCCCGTCCACCTGGCCATTCCTTGGCCAGCCCTACACCTGGCCGCCAGGCTAGTGCAGGAGTGCTTTTCACCCAGGTTTAGCTGATGCATTTGGAAACATCCTGGGCTCTGAGTGGGGTGGGTGGGAGAAGCAGCCACTTCCCACCATCCGTATTGCCATACTGACACTAATGCCAATTCTGACTTTTTTCTTCTTTTTTCTCCCCAGCTACCATCAAACCACCTGACGTGACCTGTATCCCCAAAGTGAGATCCATTCAGATGATTATCCATCCCACCCCCACGCCCATCCGTGCAGGAGATGGCCACCAGCAGACCCTGGAGGAGATGTTCCAAGACCTGTTCTACCGTGTGGAGCTCCACGTCAACCACACCTACAAAATGGTAAACATAGGTTGCACCCTGGTCCTTCCTCACCTGGGAAATGCCTTCCTCCTCGGTTACATCTGTGCTGCTCCAAACAGAAAGAGAATATGTTGTATCAATAGAATTCCCCAAACATGTCCCTGGTGGGGTGAAGGGGGGACCTTGAATCCTAAGCACAACCTCCCTCTTGTAGGCTCACGTACACAGTAGCATGTTGAAGGCTCTGACAAGTCCTGCAGAGGCAGAGATTCCCGTTTCTATTTGTTTAATTCACCTTTTCTCGGATTTATTTGACGCCAAACTTGTTTTTGTGCCGGATGCCGTGGCACGTGCCTGCAATCCCAGTGGCTCAGGAGGCTGAGGCAGGAGGATCATGAGTTCAAAGACCAGCCTCAGCAACAGCGAGGCGCTAAGCAACTCAGTGAGACCCTGTCTTTAAATAAACTATAAAATCGGGCTGGGGATGTGGCTCAGGGGTCGAGTGCCGTGAGTTCAATTCCTGGTGCCCCCCTCCCACCAAAAAAAAAAAACTTGATTTTGCATAATTTAGATTTTGTTTGATGTCTAATACTTTGTAACGTCCTGGAGAACAGCCAATTAACATCCTCAGGTGTTAACTTTAAAAAATGCCAGAGTCAGTTTCTACTGCTGTATTTCCTTAAACTGGTTCTGCGCTCCATACAATTTCAGGAACTATATTCAGGGAGTGTCCTAAGATCAGCAATAATGAAATGTGTCAGGCAAGTGCGTAAACTGCCAAATGGTATATGCAAATTATTTCCTTTTTTTCTTTTTTGGGGGAAAAGATGTGGTATTTCCCCCCAGCATGTGCCATGAACCCACAATCCAGCTGAATGAATGTTCATTTCCTACTCTAATTCTCACAATCAAGAGGCTTATACTCTAGCGAGTCGGGAAGAAGTTGAAATAATTCCAACGGCGACAGGTAGAGGAAAATAAGGATATTGCAAGGTGGATCTAAAAGACTTCCAGAAAAACTTGCGTTCGTCGATGCCGGTTTCTGGGTCATAGATACCTATTAGGTCATTGAATCCTGTACAGCTCTGTGAGGCAGAAGCCACTGTCTCCATTTTCCAGATGAGAAAACAGAGGCTCCGAGAGGTTCAGTCGCTTGCTCCAGATTGTTTGGCGAGTAAAAGCATAGCCAGGATTCAGATCCAGTTCAGTGCTAAGTCTACCTTTCTCCTCCACGGGCCGACACTGCCCCACCAAGATCAGAAAGAGAAGTAAAAAGAGGGCATTTTGGAAAAGCAGAAAACTGCCCGCTTTGACTGGAGTAATTTCTCAAAAGACGGTCCCAGACGGGTGGCATCAGAGTCACCTGTGGCCCGTTAGAGTGCAGGTCCCTGGGCCCCCTCTGTCCACTGCATCAAATGCTTGCAGTTCTTTCCGCCCTGGATCTGGACTGCGGAGAACAATACAGGTGCTTCTCCCTCACCTTGCAGTTGGAGAGCCCTGCGGTGGGGGCATGGGGAAGCCTGCGGGGACCTTGCAGGAGAGATGGAGGTGGCGGGTGGAGGGATCTTGGTTCCTAGCCATCGTCAAGGAGAGCAGCGAGAGCTTACAGAGCAGGCAGAGTCTTTATCACAGCTATTTTGGGTAAATATTTGATGTTTGACTAAATATTTTATCATTATTGATTTCTAATTTAATTCATTTCATGGTCACAGAACATACCCGGCCTGATTTGGGCCCTTGTAGATTTACTGAGATGGGTTTTATGGAGCAGCATATGGCCTGCCTATGCAAATGTTCCGGGTGTACCTGGAAAGGAACCTGTGTTGGCAGCTGTTGGGTGGCGTGCTCTATAGATGTGGATTAGGAGAAGGCGGCTGACGGTGTTATTCAGGGCCTCTGTCTTTCCCTGTTTTTTTCTTTTAGTTGTGCTGTGTTCAGCTCTCAACTGTTCAACTGGGATGCTGGTGGGCTTGTCTATTCTCCTTGTTTTAGCTTCCGGATAAACTGGCCATTTTATGATTTGATGTGTCTCTTTCATCTCTAGTGATACTCTGAACTCTAATTTACCTGATTTTATCATAGCTGCTCCCAGCTCCTCACATCCACTTACTTATTTGTTTGTTTGGGAACCGGAAATTGAACCCAGAGCTGCTGAACCCCTGAGCCGCATCCCCAGTTCCTTTTTATTTCAAGACGGGGGTCTCACTAAGTTGCTCAGGGCCTCTCTAAATTGCTCAGGCTGGCTTTGAACTCTTGAACGATCCTCCTGCCTCAGCCTCCCGAGTCCCTGGGATTACCAGGCGTGTGCCACCACCGCTGGCTTCAGGGATCTATCTTCAAGTTCTCGATTTCTTGTGGCATTTCCAATCTGTTGCTAAGATGCATTTTTTTTTCATTCGAATATTGTATGGTTCAGTTCTAAGGTGTCCCATGTTGACAGTTAATGTATTCCATTAGGATTCCTTTATTCACTCATTCATTACAAACATATTTTCTTTCACTTCCTTGAGCAAAGTTTTACAGCCGCTTTAAAATCCTTGTCCGACAATTTGGTCACCTTGGGGTCAGACGAGATGAAGAGTCTTTTCTCCTGAATATGGGTCCCAGTCTAACAATTTTGTAACCTGCCTTGGACATTATGGATGACAGTTGAAACGAGTCTGGATTCTGTTACATCCTGCAGAGGCTGTTGCTTTGGTTTTTTGTCATGTTTTAATGGACAGCTAACTTGGCTGAATTCCAGGCTTTAGAATCTCAGATCACTTTCCTTCCTTCCTTCCTTCCTTCCTTCCTTCCTTCCTTCCTTCCTTCC